AAACAAAAAAAAACCCACAAAAAAACCCTTTCCAGCCTATCCGTACCCACCCGCCTCCACCACCTATGTGTCTAGTCTTGTCTCTTTGTCCACATTAGTTTAGTTGGGTTACTTCTGAAAATACCAGAATCTTAAAGAGGACCATAGAATCCTGCCCTAGGGACATCTTCCAACGTGTGGAAAGGCATAGCTCAAAGATGTTCATCACAGCATTAGGTAGACCAGTGAAAAACTGAGAACAATGCCCAGCAGGGGGGTGGTTAATCGAATTGCAATGTGTCTTCTCCTCCCCATGAACTTTACCGGACAAAAAAGCAGTTCGGAAACAGGCTCGTGACCCCTGTGTTAAGAGAAATAAACTGGATAAAAGTGAGGCCCTCAGGGAGAAGGGTCAAGGAAGGAAGGATTAGACTCTGACCTCTGAGGGGCTGGAGATAACAAGCCAAGGGGAAAGATCACCTCCAGAATCTTTGGAGCCAGATGACAAAGCCAGGTGAACAAGAACTGACATTTAGTGAGCTCCTTATGTGGGGCATCTTTCATTCATCCAGTCCCCTGAGCACCCTGCTTTAAGACCCATTTTCTAGATGAGAACACTGAGGCCCAGACGGGTCAAGGAACTTGAAGCAAGATGTGCGCCCAGGCCACCTGCTTCTAGAGCTGGGGTCTCCACCTTGCTGCTGTCCTGCCTCCTCTGGTTCACCACACAGTGGAACGTTCCAGAGCCTTCTGGCTATGTAAGCCACTTTGCCTCAGACCCTGGTTTCTTCATCTGTAAAAGGGTTATATTCCTCATCTGTTGAGCACCCAGCGTGCAGCCTGATAGTGTGGGGCTTCCCTTCACCCCCCGGCCACAGACACTCCTGAAGTTCCCACAGCATCCTTACAGCTGTCGACCTAGGCTCCCCTGAGGCACGCAGGATAGGACATCCTGACTCCTGAGTGGCAGAAGAGCCCATGCGGGCAGTACTGGAGGAGGACTGGGTCCCCAGGGAGGACAGGGACATATTATAAGCAGGGCGCAGAGATGCGTCAGAGTCCAGAAGCTAAAGCCCGTAGTTGATAGACCATGTCTCTTCCTGTGGTCCTTGTCACAGATTCTGTCCCACCATCTGCTCGTAGGTCCCTGCACGCCCCCCACACTCTCCCCCTTTTGGACTTCTCTCTCTTTAAGTGCTACCTGTTTTCTTTCTTTCTTTCTTTTTTTTTTTTAACTTTATTTATTTTGAGAGAGAGAGAGAGAGAGCGAGCAGGGGAGGGGCAGAGAGAGAGGGAGAGAGAGAGAATTCCAAGCAGGCTCTGCATTGTCAGCGCAGAGCCCGATGTGGGCCTTGAACTCACAAACTGTGAGATCATGACCTGAGCCGAAATCAAGAGTCAGACCCTTAACCGGCTGAGCCACCCAGGCGCCCCTCCCGCTCCTGCTCACAACGTTCCCTCTGCCTGATTCCCTTCTCTCCTCTTTCTTTCTGGTTTCTTCCTGATCATCGTTTAGGACTCAGTCCAGGAGCCCCTCCTACAAGCTTGCTGATTCCCATCCCTCACAGCGTCCTCTGCCTGCCGAGCCTGAACCCAGGGCCCCCTGAGAGCCCTGAAGTGTCCCAAACACCTCTCTGACATTACACCTATCGTCCTGCATTATGCTTAACACTTTGTGTGTCTGTGTGCCCCTCGCCAGCAGCTCCTTGCAAGTGGGATCTGGGTTTTATTCATCTTTGCCTCTTCAGGGCCTGAGCAAGCCCTGCACATGCTAGACGCTCCGTAAATGTTTGAGTTGCCATGATCTTTGGAGAAGCAGGAACAGGATGGTTTCCGGAGTAAAACAGGTGTAGCGATGCCTCAGGGCCTGTGATTAGAGAGCTAAGGCAAACGGACCCCACCCCCCCAAGACAAACCACAGGATTCCATGCGTGCAGTTTCCGGTTGCAAAGAAAGTGCTACCCCGATATCCAAAATACAGTCACCTTTTTCCAATGGTTGAAGTTCTACACTTAGACATTCAATCCTTTGGCTTTGTTTGCCACCTGTTTCAATGGAAAGCCCCTGATCTTAAACCTGAGCCATCGCCGACTCCTCGTCCGGACGGAGAGAGGAGTGTAGCCACAGGGAGGTGCCCCAGGAAGTCAGCATGCCCTCCCATTCCTCCACGCTTATTTTGCACGTTTTTCTGTCTGGGTCCATACTGTTGTTCGTTGCAAGTTTTAAGAAAAATTTAATCCAGGGGCACCTGGGTGCCTCAGTCAGTTAAGCGTAGACTCTTGGTTTGGGCTCAGGTCATGATCTCATGGTTCATCAGTTCGAGTCCTGCATGGAGCTCTACGCTGACAGTGTGGAGCCTGCTTAGGATTCTCTCTCTCTCCCTCTCTCACTGCCCCTTCCCCACTCATGCTGTCTTTCTCTCAAAATAAATAAATAAACTTAAAAAAAAAAAAAAAGCAGCTCTTTCTGCCCACACATCCTGGCCCCGTGCTTTAATAAATTCACCTTTTTTGCTCTCCCCTCCCCCAACCCCCCCTGCCAAAAAAATTTTAATCCATGGTTTTCCTGCCCCTTTACAAGACTGTTGCTTAATGCTTGGCCCATCTCTGGCTTGTTTCTTCTATTCTCACATGAGTCCCTGAACTCACGGGGGATGAGGAGACAGATACCCCCTGGGGGAGGAACAGGGGTCCAGAGGAAGAGGATGCGCCCTGGGAAGTGTTTCTCTCTCTCCTGCCAGATCCTTGAGTGTCCGGCCAAGGCCAGGGCAAGGGGTGGTGGGCAGTGTTGGCCCCCCAGGAATGGAAGAGCCGTTCTTACTTGGACAAGGCCAGGCCATGCTTGCCCAGCTGTGGGTGCAGGTCAGACAGGAGAATGCCGGCCTCCACAGTCACCTGCTTCTTCTCTGTGTCCACCTGCAAGAGACCAGCACAGCAACCCTCACCCAGCAACCACATTCCCGTGAAGATGAGCATGTCTGTCCCAGCCTGTGGTCAGCTCAAGCTGACCTCTTGCTGCAGGCAGCTGAAGGGGGTGTGGGCAGAGCCCTGGAGTGCTGGGGCTGTGGGAATACAGTCATCCCCCCTTATCTACAGGGGATAATGTGTTCCAAGACCCCCCAGTGGATGACTGAAGCCACATATAACACTGAACTTTACATGTACCATATTTTCCCCATATGTTTACCTATGATAAAGTTCAAGTTATAAATTATGCACAGTAAGAGAGTAACAACAATAACTAAAGATAAAATAGAACAATTATGACAATATATTTAATAAAAGTTACGTGAATGTGGCTTCTGTCTCTCTTAAAATATCTTCTTGTACTGTCCTCAGCTTTTTTTGTCTTGTAAGGATGTGAGATGATACAATGCCTACGTGATGATGAGATTAAGTGAGATAAAGGGCTTAGGAATTGTGACCTAGGATTAGGTGACTGTTGGCCTTCTGATAATATGTCAAAAGGCAGATCATCTGCTTTCAGAGGGTGGTTGACCTCTGAAACCGCGGAAAAAGAAACCACAGATAATGGGGGGACTGGTGTATTCTGTGTAACCCCTTCTTCCCACAGGGGAGGAAATAAAGAGCAGGGAAAAGAAGGGGCTCACTCAAGGTCACTGCCATAACTCCACCTACTCCCAACCCTGCCCCACCTGGACCAGAAAGTAGGATTCCTGGATGGTCATGCATAATCACCAACTAAGGAGGGCCTATTCCTACAAGGGCTTGATTCTACCAGATGGAGTCCCAATTCTCCACTTATTCTCACCGGGGAGGTCTTAGGCAAAGACTGAGGACTGGAAGGGGACAGAAGTTCCCTGCCACGCACAAGAAGGGTTCTAGAAGACCCCTGGCAGCCCAGGGAAGTGGGAGCAGACTCTGCTTTCCCAGGGAGGAGACTGAAGTTCAGGGACTTTAAGTTGCTCACTCAAGGTCATGCAAGCATCGGCGGCACTGAGAGGAGAATTTACATCTGTGGGACTCCAAATCCCAAGCTCATTCAACTGACCCTGAGCACAGAGCTGGGCAAAATCAATTGTTGGAGCCCGATCCTCACTAATTAGCAATCAGAGTTCATTACTGCCATGACTGACATCTTGACCAGAACATTTTCTATGGGGTGGAGACTGTCAGCCTGAGCAAAGAAATAAATAATAGAGAGAAACCTAGAACTTCGGCCAGCAGGACTGGGGGTCGGCGGGGGGTGGGGGGCGGGGGTTATTTGGCAAAAACTACAGCTCAGGGGAGCCGGCCCTGTCAGGAGAGAAGGCCCTGTCTGGCCTCCACTTCCTGGCAGGTGCCTGACAAGTGCTGGCTGAAATGCATGGACAGCATCCCAGCACAGCGCTGGTGTCAGACCCCCGAGTTTGTGCCCAGCTCTGCTACTGATTGGCTGTGTAACCCTAGGCAAGTCACTTGCCCTCTCTGATCTTGTTTCCCCATGTGTAAAACTAGCTAGATGTAAATCCTTCTGGTCTGGGACTGTGAGTCCACCTTTGGGGATCTGATTTGCCATTTTTGTTCTAGAGAAGCAGAGAGGAGGCACTGGCAGGAGGAAGGAGACGAACATTCTCTCTGTGGCCACAAGGAGGCGCATACAGCTGCCAAGAAGCCTGAGCAAGCCCAGGGAGGGCTTCGGGGAGGGGTCATGGTGGGCAGGTCAGAAATTGGGGTGTCACTTTGGACTCAGGGGCAGGGAGGGGATCGGGCCTGGGGGCAGAGGCTAAGGAGTTTCCGCCCAAGGTCTGGGAGGGAGGCTGAGGCTGGGGGAAGTCGAGGGCTCTGAGTACCTGCAGAACCCGGTTCATCTTGCCCATGTGGATCATGAAGCCATCGGTGCAGGCGATGTCCGAGGGTGAGTGGCCACCTCCCACCACCTTCACCCGCTTGTTCTGCTGCCTGGCCAGGGCCAGCACCTGCCGAGGCAATGCTGGAGTCAGCCGGGGGCCAGAGACCTGGCAGGGCCTGCAGGGGTGTGGGCCGCCCAGGCTGCCAAGGCCCCTGCCCGGCTGGAGGCCGCTGTGCAGTCCAGTCTGGGAACGAGAGCCAGGGTGAAGAGCCAGGAAGTGAGCGGCACGCAGAGCGGAATCATGCTAAGGTGGGACTCCCACGCCCCTTCCCTGCTGCGGCTGGGAGCTCCTCGGTGGGCACACCCGATCACACCCTTTGCCAGCACGAAGCCTTCTGAGGGCGCTCCAGTGCCTTCAGAGTAAGGTCCCAGCTCCTCATCCTGGCCTACACGGGCTCAGCGGCCTCCCAGGCTGGAATGAAGGCTGCTGGGGTGAAAGTGGCTTCCTTTGACTTTGTAACTGTGTCTCTCCCGGGCCCAGCCCTCGTCTCTAGTGATCACGGAATGAATAAATTAATTAACAAATGCATGGTATCACTTACATGAATCCATTCCCTTTTACCCTCACTTCCCTGCTCCAAAACCTCACATCTGCTACCCGGAACACTGGCCTTACTCACAGCATGTACCGCAAGGGGTTCCATGAGCAAGTGAGACTGGGAAGGGTTCTGTCCTCCCTAGCTCCTTTCTCCACCCACTGCGTACATGGCATGTTTAAGACTACAGGCTCTACAGTAAAGAAATCTGTTTAACACCATCTTCTGTGAGCCCCCTTGGCCACACCGCCAATTTTTATTTTCACCTGACCCTACTAGCCCTCCGGGGAAATGTCAGCCTGCAGCGGCCTCAGCCTGTTGGGAATTCACAGTTGTGTGGGCCAGCACAGCTTAGAACGGCCTTGATTTATGGCCATATCAGCATACCTCCAACATTTCCCTCAGCTCAGAGGAAAGCCAGTTGCCTCGGCATTCAAGGTCCTCTAATCCTGCCTTCCCAGCCTTCCTCTTCTGCCCTCCGCCCACTCATCCCCTCCAGGCACTTGGGTCCCCGTCTCTGCTGCTTCTGATGGCTCCCCGGGCATGCTCCTCACTTTCTCTTGCTCAGTGCTCTTCCCCTGCGTGAGAAGCTGCAGGCTTTGAATCAGACAATCCCTGTGGGACTCCTGGCTCTGATATTTATTAATATGGGAAAACGACAAAACCTCTGGTAGCCTCAGTCTATCCATCTGTGAAATGGAGATAATAATCACCATGTCTCAGGAGAGCATGGAATTGAAGAGAGAATAGATATGCAGCACAGCGTCCTGACTTAGGGTCACTTCACGGGGACTGTATCGTCCAGACTGCTGTTCTCTGAGTGCGCTCCCACACCCACGCCCGTGCACACACTCGCACACACGCGCACGCAGAGTGAACTCCTCCCTCCTCGGTACCCTACTGGCGCTGGTGGAGCGGCACCTGTATCCTCTGGAGCTAGTTGCATGCATGCTTGACTGAGGTGCAAGCCTTTAAGGGTCTCTACGGTTTGGGTCTTGTCCATTCATTCATTCATTCATTCAACAGTGATTCAAGTGCTTTCTGTGGCCAGGGACAGTGCCGGGTGCTGAGGATACAATGGGAAACAAGCCAAGCATGGTCGTACATCCTTATGAGAAGGAGAGCCAGAAGCATGAACATGTTCAAGTAGACAAAGTAATTCCAAGTTAGGAATATGCAATGAAGGAAAGAAACAAGGAGCTGAGACAGAGACCGCTGGGGACAGTGGTGAGGTGGTCTGGGGATCCACTGAGGAGCTGAAGTTTACCCTGAGCCTTAAAGGAGGAAAAGGAGTTAGTCATGTGAAAAGTGAAGGGATAGGCATTCTGGCAGTGGGAACAGCAAGTGCAAAGGCCCTGGGGTAGGAAAAAGAATGAACAAAGAATGAACCAAGGCCAGGTGATGCATGGCCTTGGGGAGTCAAGTTAGGCTTTTACTCCACAAATAATAGAGAGCCTGTGGGGGCGCCTGGGTGGCTCAGTTGGTTAAGCATCGGCTTCGGCTCAGATCATGAGCTCAGGGTTCATGGGTTCGAGCCCTGCTTCAGGCCCTGGACTGACAGCTCAGAGCCTGAAGTCTGCTTCGGATTCTGTGTGTCCCTTTCTCTCTCCCCCTCCCCCACTTGTGTTCTCCCTCTCTCTCAAAAATAAATAAATAAACATTAAACAGTGAGCCTGTGAAGGGATTTAAGCACAGAGTAGCCCAGTCCAACTTACATTTTAAGAAAATTACTTCTGCTGAGGTGGAAAGTGCATTCAAAGGAAGTGAAAATTGAGGCAGGGAGACCGGGGCCATGGCCGCCGCAGGTCATGGTGAGTGAGGAAGGGATGGCGGAGTGGACATGGAGATTGGCAATGGTGCTGAAGAGAAGGGGATGGGTTCTGGAAGCTTCTGGGGCAAGACTTGCTGACTGTGGATAAGGGTAAAGAAAAGACAGTGACCCACTTCCTGGCTTCCCAGGCACCCCATGCAGAGACAGGGGTAGAAGAGGGTGGAGTCAACTACACAAGAGACTCAAAGCACTGGAAATGTAGTCTGGGGCACGTAAGCCTGTGATGACCTTGAGACACACAACGAGAGAAGTCACATGTGAGTCTGCGGCCAGAGAAGAGATCTGAGCTGGAAATGAAATGCTGGCAGCCATTGGTGGCACGGGAAGGGGTAACGTGGAGCTGTAGCAGGGGAGTGGGGGCCAGGAGCCCGGAAATTTTCAGGCTTCATGGAGCTGTCTCCTGGCCGGCAGCTCTGAGGTGGGGGTGGGGGTGGGGGCAGGGCGACCCAACTTCCTGTCTGGGGCAGGGACAACTCACCTCTCTGACCTCCTCCACGGACGTGGGCTGGTAGTACATTTCTGGGCAACAGCCGTAGGTCCTCGCCCAGTTTTGGAACTTGACTCCTTTGTACCCATGGACCTGCGACAGGAAAAGAGCTGGGTCATCACAGACATGTGGCCGCGCGCTGCCCCAACGGCCGTCCCGGGCTCCCGCCAATGCAGGATGGGAGGCCGGGGCCGGGGCGCTGAGCCAGGGGCCGGTGGGAAGATTAAACGGACGTCGGAGGCTCTGAAGCTGCGGGACTTCCTCTTTGTTCTCTCCCTTGACCCCTCATGGCCACGTGGGCAGAGCACACAGAGGACGCTGTCCATTCTTAGCAGAAACGATGGGGCTGGGGGTGGAGCCCGAAAAAGCAGGACTCAGGGCCCCTGCCCCTCCCCCCACTCCGTCCCGGGCACCTCTCTGAGGGACCCAGCAGAAGGCGTACTCCGGTCCAGCAGGGACACTGGGGAAGGGGTTGCGCGAGTGGGCCTGGTGGCCCAAGAAGGACTTGGAGCTGGCCTTCAGCTCTCCTATGAGGCTTCTCCCACCAAGAAGGGCCAAGTCTGGGGGACTCCACTGCAGCCTTTCTGGCCTCTAAACCAAAGCAGGGAGCTCTGGGGATAAGACTCCCACGTGTTGGATATGAGCTGTGTCCCGAGCACTGTACAAGATCCGTACCCGTGGTACCTTATTTAGACCTTACAATAATGCCACAAAATCGGTAATACTACTCCCATTTTCAGGAGCAGAAACTGAAGCCCAGAGAGGTGAGGTAACTTCCCCAAACACACACAGCAATCAAATGAAGACACTAGAGTCCGACCCAGGCCTCCGTCTCTTCCATGCTTTCCCCAAGACCCCAGTGCCACCCCTAGAGCCTCAAGTCCAATGCAAGAGGGTCCCCATGGCCTCCCCCAGGCCCTAGACTTGACCTAATTCTGTCCTCCCACGTCTGGCCCGTGGGCCCAGCCTGAACGCAGCCCTGCTGGGCTGACGGGCTGTGCCGTGCGATCCTACCATGGCTCCAGTGGTGGGTCGGTGGCCTTGGCAGACTGAGGCTCCCTCCGGGAACAGAGCACGGGGCAGCAGCGTGTAGAGGCAAGGTGGGGCGACGGTCCGGAGCGGAAAGCACAGCGGCCTCCGAGCACAGGGCTGACTCTGTATCTACTGCATACCGAGGGGCTTCGGGCGGCAAAGGTGGGTAAACAGTGTTGCGACAAGCTCCACCCGGACAGATAGCCAGATAGCAGTGCAGGCCCTGCCCCCTGCCCCCTGCCCCGGGGGCCCTTCTCAGGCAGCGAGGTGGAAGAGAGGAGTTTAAGAGGCAGCTGTTCTGTCCCTGGACGCTGCTTGAGCTCTGACCCCAGCTCTGGGCATTCTGGACCCAAAGGACCCTACAGCTTCCAAACGGGATCCTTAATTCCATAGGTCAGCAGAGGCTGTGACGTGGAGGGTCTGTGGGGGTCTTCATGCAGGGGCTGCCTTGGTGTCCCCTTGGAGGAGGACACATGTGGCACCCCAGGGCAGGTGCAGTCAGGATCTGTGTTAGCTCATCCGTCCGACTTGGGGGATGAATACACCGAGCCCCCCATCGCTATAGAGACAGGATAGGAGGCTGGTGGCTGTAGCACCAGGTGGGGAAGGGAGACGAGGGACCCTCCGCTCAGGCACTCTTCCAGCAGAGGCCTTTCCCAGGCTTTATGGGTTCCTCCTCCAGGCTCTGCCTGTTAACCTCTGGGAACCTCATTTTCCTCCCCAATAAAGTTGGGGCACTTTTGCCGAATTCTCCGCGTCGATATAAAGGTGAGAGCAGATCTCTGAGGAGCATGGGACCCAACGGGAGCTTGAGATGACAGCAAGCTCTTGCATCTGCCCTGGCCATGAGCTTGCTGGTGGCAGGATTCTCCGGACACGCCAGCCTGAGCTGGTGCCTGGCACGGAGCCAGCGCCCCAAGCGCAGTTGTGCAACAAACAATCCCGGCCTGTCAGATCTCTCCAAGCCAAGGGCTGGTGTCTGGTGCGAAAGCAGGGGAGGAGGAAAGGGCAGGCTGAAGGAGTGGAGCTGGGGTCAGAGATGTGCCCGAAAAGTCCTAGCAAGGGGGAGGGTCAGAGGCACACCCGTATCCCCCGGAGCAGGATTTCTGCCAAGCTACCGAGTGTGTGTGTGTGTGTGTGTGTGTGTGTGTGTGTGATTGTACCCCCACCCCAGATGCAAATGTACGAGTATGAGGTAGGAGTGCAGCATGTGCTCATTACAGGGAAAGCCTGGCGCAGGAGGTGACTGTTTACGGTGACTCGGCAGCTCAGTCATGGAGAGGTGAGTCCCAGGGCCACAGAACTGATCCTTTGGGGAAGGGCTGTGTTAGAGGCTGAACTGTGTTCCTCCCAAATTCCTATGTTGAAGCCTTAGCCCCCAGCACCTCAGGATGTGACTGTATTTGGAGAGAGGGCCTTTAAAGAGGTCATGAAGCCAAAGTGAGGTCGTCAGGATGGGCCCTGATCTAATATGACCGGTGTCCTAATAAGAGAAGCACACAGAGGAGAGGCCATGAGAAGACTCTGGAAAAGGCAGCCATCTGCAAGCCAAGGAGAGAAGCCTCAGGAGAAGCCACCTCTGCCGACGACTGCTTGATCTCAGGCTTCCAGCCTCCAGAACTAGGAGAAAATAAATCTCCGCTGTTGAAGCCACTCAGTCCGTGGTAGTTTGTTAGGGCGGCCTGAGAAAATTAATGCCTGGTGTCTACAAGCTCCTGAGGCTGGGATCTCCACAGGGGCCTTCGCGCGAGAGAAGAGCGAGGCCTGGCTCTTGCCTCTGAGCCCGGTTCACTTGGGCTGTCCCTGATGGGAGACGCAGGTCCTGTGCCCTCCGACGCTGCCGGCTCCACTGTCTGAGAGGAGGGAGCCTGGGGGGACCTCCCCATAGAGCCTCAGACTCCCTGGCTGGGAAGGGCAGGGCTTGGTGAGGGAGACAGTGGTTGGAGGCCTTGGGGCTGAGTGGTGGAGAAAGCACCTGGTTGGCCACTGTCCCAAAGCCCTGGAAGGAGGCCCATGGCAGGGAGGGGAGGCGAGCACGGAGGTTCACCCCAAATAAATAACTTGTTTCCCACTCACCCACAGTCAAACCCAAGGTCTCTCCTTTTGGAGAACGCATTCTGTGCTGAGACCTCCTGGAAGCCAGGCGCTGTGGGGTGTGGGTGGGCCTGGGCTGTGCCCTGGAACTGCCCGAGGGGCTCCCTTCCCTCCTCGGTTGGAAGATTTCCCAGCCTGGAATCACCCACCATTTTCTCTTTGCCTCTTGCTACTGCCCTTGAATGGAACGCTTTCTCCCCTATCCCCGCCAAGCCAGTCACATCAATTTTGCCAATTGCCTTTATGGAGAAACAGAAAATGACATGAGAAAAATATAAACATCAGCAAAAAGTATCAGTTAATTTAATGTGCAATGCCACCATCCCGTGATTAAGGTGGATGGTTTATTGCTTATTCTTTCTTGCGTGAAGGACTCAGCTGGTTCAGTAATTGCTGAGTCTTAATTTTTTCTAACGTTTGTGGACAAGGGAAATTAATGCTGCTGTTTCAGTGGTCATTGAAGCTTTTTTGACCTTTTCCCCTCCCATACTTGTTAATCAGTCAGAGTGAGGTCCTTAATATACAACTTACATGTGGTAACTTAACACTTCTTTGAAATAGTGTGAATATCTGGGAGAGTGTTTAATGACTTCTGATCTGCAGATATTACTTTCCTGTGCTACTAATTCAAGTTCACTCAATACACACGGCAAAGAAGGATGACACAGTCTAAAATGCCCCCTGCTTCTCAGAGTTGAATCCAGGATAATTGATGGAGACAAAGACCAAATATCCATCTCCTCAATCTATTCAAATGGGAAAAAAGATGACAGTTTGGCGGCTTCTCTGGAATTTTCTTACTTTGAGTTACATAAGCCAAGAATTGTTTCTGTCTTTGAAATTCTGACACAAGCCAGTCACACCGAGTCTCCCATGCTGATACATTCTGCCCCGTTCTGGGGGGCTTGGCATGAATATCATGGAAAACAGTGACGAAGTGCCTAAGAAACACAAGGTAGGTCTTAGCCAGGGTCTTTAAGCTAGGAAGTTATTTTTTAATTGATTAAAAATGAGTTTACGGGGGGCGCCTGGGTGGTTTAGTTGGTTAAGCATCTGACTCCTGATCTCAGCTCAGGTCTTGATCTCAGGGTCATGGGTTAAAGCCCTGCATTGGGCTCTATGCTGGGCATGAAGCCTACTTAAAAAAATAAAAATATAAATAAATAAATAAATAAATAAATAAATAAATAAATAAATAAAATAGAATGAGTTTATGACCCATGGGAGAAAATATCTGTAAATCATATATCTTACAAGGGATTAATATCCACAATATATAAAGAAGTCATACAACTCAACATGAAAGCAAATATTAAAAATGGGCAAAGAAAGGGTGCCTGGCTGGCTTAGTTGGTTAAGCATCCGACTTTGGCTCAGGTCATGATCTCGCAGCTAGTGAGTAGTTAGAGCCCCACAGCAGGCTCTCTGCTGTCAGCACAGAGCCCACTTCAGATCTTCTGTCCTCTCCTCTCTCTGCCCCTCCCCCGGTTACACACTCTCTCAAAAATAAATAAAATTAAAAAAAAAAAATGAAACCTTCTGCATCGCTGGTGGGAATGCTGTTATGTGTTTGGTGCAGCCACTCTGGAAAACAGTATGGGGGAGCCTCAAAAAATTAAACACAGAAGGACCACATGATCCAGTAATTCTACCTCTGGGTATATACTCAGAAGAACAGAAAGCAGAGACTCGAAGGGGTATCTGTACACCATGTTCATGGCAGCATTTATTCACAGTAGCCAAAAAGGTAGAAGCAATCAAGCGTCAACCAACAGATGAATGGATAAACAAAATGTGGCATCTCCACAGACTGGAATATTGCTCAGCCTTAAAAAGGAAGGGATATCTGACTCACGCTCCAACATACATGCGCCTTGAGGATCTTCTACTGAGTGAAATAAGCCAGTCACAAAAAGACAAATACTGTATGATTCCACTTATATGAATTAGCTAGAGTAGTCAAACTCATAGAGACCCAAAGTAATGGGTTGCCATGGGTTGGGGAGAGGGAGAAGTAGGGGTTCGTGTTTAATGGGTAGGGTCTCAGTTTGGGACAATGAAAAAGATCCGGAGGTGAGTGGAGGTGAGGGTGGCAAACAGAGTGAGTGTATTTAATGTCACCGAACTGTGTACTTGAAAGTAGTTAAAATGGCAAATTTTAATGTATATTTTACCACAGTGAAAGTGAAAAAAAAAAAGTGAGCTCACAGGAGTATAAATGTCATTGATATTCTTTCAAAAGTAGGTACTAGACTCAAAACCCTTATATGTACATATGACAAAATGTACTTAAGTAAACCAACAAAGGGATCCCACTCATACCTTATAAATACCAAAGCTGGAAGCCTCCACGGTAACTGTAAATCCTTCAGCTGTGTTATTAAAAAAAGTATTGCATTTCTATTTTATGCAGCAGACACCCACTGAATGCTAACAAAGATTCATAGATGACTAGACCCGGGAGGGCTTCTCCTTCTGAACTTAGTTCTATTAGCAGATATTCCAGGAGTCTTGAAGAAGATTCCCCTTCCTTCTTCCTCCCTCCCTGCCTTCCTGTCTCTTTTATAGGCTCCACACCCAACATGGGGCTTGAACTGATGACCCTGAGATCAACAGTCACATGCTCTGAGCCAGCCAGGCACCCCCAGTCTTATTCCATCAAGTCTTGGCATGGTGATAACAGTCATGCAATTGGCCATCCATGTCACCCAGTAGGACATCAGAATCAAGAATCTGAAATCCACTCATTTATCCATCCATTCGTCTGTGCTTCCATTCTGTTATTTACTCAGCAAATATCGAATGGGCATCTACAAAATGCCAGGCATCTGCTGGGTTAGGATCAAGGATGAGCACCTAGCTAGGTAGTTGCCCGTCCTAAAGGCCTTACAGTCTCATGGGGCAGACAGTTCACAACTGGGTGCAGTAGCCAACACTTGGGAGAAACTTCTACAACTGCTAAGAAAATATTTTATCATTTGTTGCCAGATGGATTCCTTTGAATCGCGAGGCATGGTATTTCCCACCCAACTCCTGTTGCATAAACCTTTGAGGTTCTGACCTAGATATTCTAGCGATTTGTCTGTTTTGTATTTGTGCTTATGGTAATGTTGATGTGAACAACATGCAGACTGGCTTAGAGTTACTTCAAGGCCTAACACCAGGGGTTCATTGGACCCCAAGAGAGACAGAAATAGTTTTTTGTCCCATCTGTTCTAACAGACTCAGAAGACATTTCTCTTGAGAACCTTGGATACTGCTAGTTGACAGCCACTAAGGGTGAGGACAGAATTTGTGAGCGACCATAATCCCCTCCGGAGAGAGCTCCGTGACCCCACTGATACGTGGGTGTAACAGAGAATATAGGGTCTGCTGTGCCTCTGAGAAGGCTAGTTCCCTTAGCAGAGGTCAATACAAATTTATTACAAATGTATTTGTTATACATTGTATAATTAAAAGAACTTGAACACACTCCCAGCAAGTTGTACTTAAACTGGCATCTGAAAAATCTGTCTTAAGGAGGTCAGTCCCCTTTGCTGCCAGAGGTACAAGCAGCTGATTGATGTGTGGGCCAAAGGTCTCCAAGGCAGCGGGGAAACACATATTTCTAGTGTTTTCGTGAATAAACTGAAGACTCTTCCAGTCTGGGTCCTTTATGACCCTCTATCTTGCATGACTGGTTATATTTTTGTTGCAAATCTATGGACCTGAGTCATTTGACCCTTATTTGAGATTGAACATACTCTGTTTTAGTAACATATCTGGCTTACATGGTCATTTCCCCAGGTCACGAATTTGCCATTTATTTTATTATTAAAAAAAAAAAATTTAATGTTTATTTATCCATTCTTGAGAGAGAGCACAAGCAGGGGAGGGGCAGAGAGAGAGAGAGGGAGACACAGAATCACAAGCGGGTTCCAGGCTCTGAGCTGTCACAGGCTCTGAGCCCAACACAGGGCTTGAATCCACGAACTTCGAGATCATGACCTGAGCCGAAGTCTGATGCTCGACTGACTGGGCCACCCAGGAGGCCCACTAATTTGCGTTTTAAATGGGCCCTTTAACTTTCAGATCCAAAAGGAAGGAGGTGGTGGTGGTGTGGCTGGAAATTTAAAGCCCACATAGGCCTTGTCCTAGGATAAACTGGAAAGCTTACAGCTAAAACTTCCACAGCGTTTCCTCGTGCTGTTCCAGGTCCCTGCATCCGTTAACTGATTTGGTACTAAGAATCACCTGAGTCTGGTACTATTCATGCACCCTTTACAGCTGAGGAAACTGAGGCACAGGAAAGCCTTTCTTGAGGTGACACATTAGAAAGTGACGTATCGGGAGTCTCGTCCAGGGAATCTGACTCCAGATTCAGAAAGGAGATTTTTGGTAGGACCTCAGCCTTTGGGACCAGAGTGAGCCTGAATCTAGGCTCTGCCTCCAACCAACCAAGTGACCTCGGGCAAGCTACCGGAACCTCAGCTTTCCCATCTGTTAAATGGGGAGAAGAGGTGATATATAGAAGGCTCTAAGGCATGCAGACATACTTAATAATGATAGCAGCTAACGTTTCTAACCTTTCCCTTGCCTTCTACACACACAGACACACCCTTTTTTGCCAGGTTAATTTATACTCCACATAGTTCAGCTTAAAGATACCACCTCTGCCCTCAAGCCCTCCCTATAGAATGGACAGCGAGGGAGGTGCACATACACCTGTGAGCACACCGGTCTCTGGGGAAGGGAGAAAAGGCACACAGGCCACTCCGGGGACTTGCTGGAGGAGGTGGCAGGCAGGAGTCCTGCAAGCAAAAAGACCCATACACCGGGGTGCAGGGTCAAGGAGAATTGGCAGGGTGCATGCAGAGACTTGAGGGGTGGTGACTTTGGAGAGCATTTAGGAATCTGGGAGTGATCAGGGCAGGCTGGGGGTGAGGGGCCTTTATTTGGGGACAGCGGGAGGCCCTGATACGTTCAGATCAGACTCTGTGCAGGGAGACCAGTTAGGAGGCCGTGCTGCAGGGCTCTGAGCCAGAGGCTCTGGGCTTGGAGCCAGTCAGTGGGAGGGGCAGGGGGGCACAACGGGAGGGGACAGATCCAGTGAGACGCAGCTTCTGGATGTGGCTGGGGAAGTTCTGGGTCTGCTCTGAGACGCATGGCAGCTGCTGCCAGATGTGACCATTCAGGTTTATACTAATTACAATTAAAGGAGAAATTCACTTCCTCGTGCTCATTTTCCACATTCAAGGGCTCAGGCCACGTGCATGTATGTGAGCATACTGTGTCGAGGGCATGTGGCTGCTGCACGTGGCCGACGGCTTCTCCGTCCAACAGCACAGAACAGACCATTTCTCTCATCTCAGAAAGTTCCACTGCACAGGGGCGCCTGGGTGGCTCAGTTGGTTAAGCAGCTGACGCTTGATCTCAGCTCAGGTCACGATCTCGAGGTTCGTGAGTTAGGGCCCCGCATCGAGCTCTGCACTCACACCGTGGAGGCTGCTTGGGATCCTCTGTCACCTCTCTGCCCCTCCCTCACTTGTGCTCACGCTCTTTCTCTCAAAAATAAGTAACTGTTAAAAAAAGTGTTTTAAATAAAAAAAAGAGAACGTTTCACTGGACACCGCCGCTCTAGATCACGCAGTGCCTCAGAGACTCAAGAACAGAGGGACACACACTCACTCAAAGGCGACAGACAGGACTACCACCCTCGCTCTGCCTTCCTCCCAGAACACAAACGCCAGCCTCACGGAATGTTTGAGCTTTATTAGACCAACAAGTTCCAATCTCAGCTGATGTGCTTCAAAATTAACGGATTTTGCTGCCGAACCGTGATTGGTTAGTCAAAGAGAAATCACCCCTGGCCATCCCGTTTCGTCACCTATAGAACACTGTAAGCCACTCTTAAGAGAGAAAGTAACACCTTTATACCTGGAGAATGAATCAGATGTGATTTTTCCTGTATCTAAAATTATGTCAGATTTGACTCTCTTCATTTAAAGGAAACCACTCTGCAGAGTAAACCCCCTTGGAATGATGCTGCCGGTTACAAGAGGTGCCGGAAAGACTTCCTCTGGGTTCCAAGCCCAGCAGAGGAAGGGCTTGCAGACCTGCTGGGGGGCTGGCACACGCCATGCCCTAAAGCTTCGAGACCACTGGTGGGTCCCTGGCATCCGTCTCCAGCCACTCAATGAGGATCCGATTCAACTCGGTGGGCCTGGGAAGGAAACAGAGGGCAATTCACACCTGTCAGGACCCACTCACCGCAGGCATGTGAGAGCAGAGGTGATGAAGTGAATGGCAAGGCCAGGAAAGCCCTTATTGGAGGTAAACAGGAAGTCCCGGTCTCCCCCACCCAGGGGTCTCCCCACCCCCGCCACATCTCCTTACTTCTCCATCTGTGTCCAGTGTCCGCAATCCATAATGTGTCCCCTTTTCAGGTAGGGGATCTGGAAGAAACCCCCTCCCCCCCCCCCGAAAAGTAAGTGGCAGAACACAGGTGGCTCTCGTTTTAGGTTAGTGCTCCCCACAGGCCACCCTCCCCGAAAATCCTTGCATTATTTAAGAAAGGAATGGGCATTCACTGAACTCCTACTATGTGGCCGGTAGTCTACGTGCATCACCTTCTCTAACCTTGACCGTGATCCTATGGGGTAAGATGAAGGCTCAGAGAAGTTAGGTAACCTATCCAAGGTCACACAGAGTGGCTGAGTGAAGATTCAAATTCAGGGCTGACTTGTTTGTGCTCACCGAAACAAGTTGCTTCTCTTTAGAATTATCAGGACGCAGCTTGTTCACTGTCTGGAAAACGCCTGGTTGTTCGGCTCTCGCCACACAGACATGACTGAGTCCCCCTCTTTTGGACCCTGAACCCCCACAGTGGGTCACTGTGGCAAGCCCCAAAGAGGGAGAGAGCACAGCAGCACTGCCCTTGGCACAAGCAGGCTCCCTCCCGACACGAGCCTTGAACTGTGCAACCCGATGCAGAAAATGCTTGGGGCGGGGGAATGTGGCTTTCCTCCCAGAGGCGAAGACGGCCCCTTCTGGGCCTAAGCCTCAGCGAGGTTAGCAGTCAGTGGCCAGGGTGGGAAAGGGCCAGCCAAAGAACTGGAAATTCTACAGAAATCTTCAAGGGTTGGTGCTAGAGAAAACGAGCCCCGCCCCGTGGCCTCAGCCCCTCCATCAGCTGGGTCCAGGGCCCACCAGAAGCGTGTCCTTGGCAGCATCCCACCCTACACACTGTCTGCTGTGCCTGATGATGCCAACGAAGCCACAGCCAAGTGCGGACGGACCGCTCCGGGCAGCTAGCTAGGCAGGATCCGATGAGCCAGCCCAGCCACCCCACCTGCAAGCCTCCCCAGTCCCTACCAACCTCCACGCTTGTGGCAGAGTGAGCTTCCAAACTGCAGGTTTGTCACCTGTCAATCCCCTTCAATGGCTCACGCCTATGGGCCTACAAAGCGCGGTCTGGCCCGGTGGGCTCAGCAGAATCTTCCAGTCTTACGGAGCTCCTACCATTCTCGCAGTAAGCCCTGCATGCTCCTTGCCTCTCACCCTGTCTTCTGTTCTCTCTGCGGGGCAAGCCTCAGTCGTTCGCTAAGGCCAGACGCAGTGGTCAGCACCTCTGTGAAGACCTCCTTCCCTACCGAGCCCTCTTCACCTCTCTCCTGCGTCTGGGATGAACTGCAGGACAGCGAGCTCCCCAAGGGTGGGGTCTGCATCTTATTCACCCTTACCTTCCCAGAATCTAGCACTGTGCTAACAAAAGCGCCCAGTAAAAGCCCATGAAATGAATGAGTGAATGAATGAATGCATGAGTGAGTAAAGCACGAGTGAGTAAATGACAGGCTACATCAGTGCAGGGAAAAGAAGGCATCAGTCAGGACTGCTGCTCCTATGAGGTGGCAGGGATCCTACTGACGAAGAATCAAGTGCTTTACTGGATCTCCGGCTCTGTGTCCCCAGCTGCCATCTTTCCTCCGTGAGGCCTGCGCCCTCTCCCGGGAAGCACCAATGGCCCCAGTGCAGGACTGTTGGCTTACCCAGTCCTCCATATGCTTGGACATCTCTGGAGTGAGCACGACGTCCTTCTCCGCGGTCACCATCAGAGCCGGAATCAGGATCTAGGGGAGGGTACCAGGAAGCAGAGGCAGGCAGAGAAGGGACGGAACGGTCCCTTCTTGTGCCCCTCCATAGCTGAGGCCTTCCCTCTCCCAGGACAAGGACAGGGTACTTCATTTCCCTGCTTTGTGGCTTCCCCCACGATTAACATCCCCCAGAAAGACCCCCTGTGGTGCTGCTGTGGTCCTGGCTTTGTTTCCCCAGGTTTTGCACTATTACTGGGGATCTCAGATGATGGTGTGAGATGACAGAAAATACATAGGTTTGTCTCTGCCCCTGTTCCTGGCACAGGGCTCCTGAAACCCTTGTACTTTTCTAGGTGTTAAGAATGATAGGAGCATCTCTTGTTCTAATATTTGGTCTTTTGATCCCATCCTTGCCTGACACAGGGTTCCTCAAACCCTTGTAAATTCCAACGTGATAAGAGGACCAGGGGTATCTTTTCTTCTACTGTGGGGACTCTGGGTGGGCTCCTGGGTGGGGACTGGATGGGGCTGGTCACCACAAAGACGAGCCGAGAGGTGATCAGAAGCTTAGGCTTTTCAGCCCCACGCCCCATTCTCTAGAGAGGACAGAGGGGCTGGAAATGGAGTTAATAATTGATCGTGCCTACATGAGTAAGCCTCCATTAAAATCCATAAAACCCCAATAGGATGGGGTTTGGGGAGCTTCCACACTGGCAAACACATCTACAGTGGGAGGGGTGATGTACCCCAACTCCGCAGGGACAGAAGCCCAAGAAGTGCTTGGGCCCCTCCCAGACCATCTCTCCATCTGGCTGTTCATCTGAATCCTTTGTCATCTACTTTAACAAACTGGCAAACGTGTCTCCCTGAGTTGTGGGAGCCACCCTAGCAAATGAATCGAACCTGAGGAGGGAGGCACGGGAACCCCAGAAGCAGAGGTAACCACCTGGACTTGTGATTGGCATCTGAAGCGGGGCGGCAGGGGGGCGGGGGCAGTCTTGTAGGACCCAGCCCTTACCTGTGGGATCCGACGCTATCTCCAGGGAGACAGTGTCAGAACGGAATTGAATTTTGGTGATGCAGAGAATTGCTCGGTGGAGGAAAACCCTCACACATCTGGTGACCAGAAGCGTGAAGTGTTTTGTGTTAAGAGACACACAGGAGGGTAAGACTAGGTTTTTCTAAGACGAGTAGAGTCAGCAGTGTCGTGACCCACAAGGGTTTTGTGTGCATGTGTGCGTAGAAGTAAGAACACTTCTACTGGCCCACTGTGTGTCTGGTATTTACAGAACTGTAAGAAGAAAACCATAGGCCCCACACGGTGTCACTTGGGCCAGGCCAAGTCATTAAATTGGAGCTTAATACCTAATTGCAGTTTCAACCTCCCCCAAAAATGTCTTAGCTGGTTAGGCAGGAATTTATTGATTAGCACCAAGGAGGTAATCTGTCACACGGGTTCTCCCCTTACCCCATAGGAAGCTGGGGGAATGTGCATAAGACCCCTGCTCTTTCCCCTAAGGGAACGCGACCTTGCCTGAAAAAATGGTCTCTTTTCTTTTGCTTATACCTTTCTCGCCCCACCCCCTCCTTCGGAAAAACCCTTTCGCTTTGAGCACCCCTCTACTTGCTAGAAAGGATGCTGCCTAATTTCATGAGCCATTTAATAAGGCCAATTGGATCTTCAGATTTACTCGGTTGAATTTTGTTTTTTGACAGAATGGAATAGATGGCACCAGAAAGGAGGAAAGATGCCTTGGATAGAGATCAATATTCCTTTTCTTTGAATTAAGTGGATGCTTTAAAAGGTCAGCCAAGAATCCAGGAAGTGAATGGGTCAGGCACAGCTGTTATCAGCCCAACAGGAGCGGCAGCAGAAAGGACTTCACTTTCATCTACTGACAGATAGGACACTGTGGGGTGGAGAAAGCTTCCATTTATCCTCTTTGTTCTCCCTCCACCATTATAATTGTCAAACAGCTTCGATTTGTCCCTGGTTAAGGGACTTTTACTGGTTTTTACCAATGTACAGAACTGCATGCTTCTCACTGCCAAATGATCAAGGACCAGCGATGTTCAAAAGTGATTTTGTTGCTACATGATGGAACTAGAGTGTATTACGCTGAGCGAAAGAAGTCAGAGAAAGACAATCCTATGATTTCACTCAATTGTGGAATTTAAGAAAACACATGAACATAGGGGAAGGGAAGCAAAAGTAAGAGAAAAACAGAGATGGAGACAACCCATAAGACAGTCTTAAACACAAAACTGAGGGTTGCTGCTGGGGTGTTGGGTGGGGGGATGGGCTAAATGGGTGATGGGCATTCAGGAGGGCACTTGTGATGAGCACTGGGTGTTATACAGAAGTGATCAATCACTAAATTCTACTCCTGAAACCATGATTATACTACGTGTTCACGAACTTGGATTAAATTAAATAAATAAATAAATAAATAAATAAATAAATAAATAAATAAGGAAAAAAAAGGGAATAGGTTGAATGAACACCAACAAAAAAGTGGTTTTATTGCTGAAACTAATCCTAAGGCTGTTATAAACTCCAGAATATTCCCAGTCAAAATGTAAACTGGTTGTGGGGGCATGAGAGGAGGTGGGGGAGAAGGAAGATCTGAAAGGTATCTGTAGAAGAATGGGTTTCCAACGTTAGCGCCATTGGGATTCACCCTCCCAAAGACTCTGCCATTATGCACCTGCATGTTGCAAGAGATTTTGCCTACCAACCCATGGCTTTGTCATTTTTATCAGTCACAGGTGAGGGAGTCAAAGATAATGGGCCTTCATTGAACTACTACTATGTGCTAGGAACTATTCCTGTCATTCCCGTAAGTGGCAATGGAGACCAGAGTGGATAAGTGCCTTACCCAAGGGCACACAGGGATTAGATCCCAGGCCAACCTGCTGCCCAGTGTGCTCTTAACTATGTTCCATGCTCTATTGCCTGACCCCATGAGGTCAGCACCTCATCTGTTTTTAGTTTTGTTTTCAGTGAGAGTGAGAGAGAGAGAGAGAGAGAGAGAGAGAGAGAGAGAGAATTTTAAGCAGGCTCCACCCTCCGTGCGGAGCCCAACATGGGGCTCAATCCCAAGACCCTGGGATCATGCCCTGAGCTGAAATCAAGTCAGACATTCAACTGACTAAGCCACCCAGGCACCCGATGGGCCTCATGTATTTTATCTGCCATCGTATCCCTAAGGTCCACCATAGTGCCTAGCACGTAGAGGGTGTTCACTTCCAGTGACTTGATGAGAAAACTAGGGCTACTGAGTGAGCTGAGGAATGCGAAAATGCAATTTCCCATAGGTTCTTAGCTTTTTAAGTTTGTTTATTTATTTTGAGAGAGTGTGCGTGGGAAGGGCAGAGAGGGAGAGAGAGAGGGAGAGAGAAAGGAAGAGAGAGAGGGAGAGAATCCCAAGCAGGCTCCACACCATTAGTGTGAGGAGGCCGACATGGGGTTCGAACCCACGAACCTGTGAGATCATGACCTGAGCTGCAATCAAGAGCCAGATGCTTAACCGACTGAGCCACCCACGCGCCCCGGTTTTCAATGTTTTGAATGTAAACTATGAATGCCGTTACAGGTTTCCCCGGCTATCCAAAGGTGGAGCACTCCTGTGAAAGCTCCTGTAAGCCAAAGTGGCGTAAAGTGAAGAAGCAATCACCACTAATGTATAAGGAAAAGTGTTTGAACACTCCCAGACCCTCCAAATAACCTCTCAGGCATTTCTGATGGAAACATCTTGCTAACAGATACACAAAACAGACCAACGTAAAGCCCAGATGCTCAGAGACACGGTTCAAGGCCATGGCGGCTTGATGCTGAGATGCTGAGGGGAGTTCCTGGGGAAGGGGCTTGGCGGGGCCGCTCTTGCTTGCGCGCTGCCTCTAAGATGAGTCGGTGCAAAAGAGATGCTGGATGCTTTTTTTCCCACAAGTGAAAATCCTCTTTGGATTTCTTTCAGTTAGCGAAAACAGCTCCGAATGGAGGTCTTTCGTAAAAGCGATCTTTCAAAAAAGTGGGGCACACCTGTATTCCCTCTGCAGACCCAGAGATTGGAAACCCACCTTCTGCTTGACTCAGGTGGACCTGGACAAAGGTGACACAGCCAGAGGCTAAAGCCTGTGTCTCTGAAAGTGCCTCAGGCTCCTTCTGTGAAATGGGGGCTCTGTGTGACCCTCCTCACCTCTGGGAGTCATCCTGGACCATCTGCCCTGACCTGGGGCACCATCAGGAGATGTGGGCCTTCCACACGGATGCCGCGGGCACCCGGACAGTCCTCTGCTCTGCCCGCATGCCACCCTCTACCATTCCAGGGAAAGCATCAGTGAAAGCCCTAGTCGAGGCACTCACTTCCCCCTTGAGTGGAGGGAGGGGAAGGGCAGAAAGGAGGACAGCAAGTCAGTCTGTCCTGCCCATCCCCCCAACTCTGACCAAAGGGCAGATTAACTGGGCCAATGAGAAGCCCAGGGGCGGGGCGGGGTGGGGTGGGGGGGGCAACCACCCTGAACCAGCACTTACCTTTCGTCCCAAACCTGTGCAGCCCCACTTCCAGTTTACATCCACGTTTCGATACCAGTTTAGGGGACCCCTGGGGGTGGGGACGATCAGGGGAACAAAAACAGGAAGGCTTTTAGTAGATGACTATGGTACAGACCCCACCGGGAGCCAGCTCTGAACAGCGGGTCTTCCCAGTGGGAGCAAAAGTTTCTGCAGGGGAGGGGAGAGGACGGAGCCCAGGGGTCACGTCTGGTGGCCCAACGCACTTGCCATGTTTTAACGAGCAAGGCCTAGTGCCGGCATTCAGGGTTCGGCTGAGAGGGCTGCCAGCCTCCGAAGTGGGCTTCCGGAAACATGCAGAAACTGGCCCACATTCTCGGGGGGCTGCTGGGTTAGATCACGGGGAGCTCCGTTTAGTGCTCTCACCATCCAGAAGCTGCTCCCTTGCCCCAGGGAACCTACTGAAAAGAAACTTCGGGAGGTGCCCTCCTTCCAATGGGACGTAGAGAGGTAGCTCAATGATGCCTCTCTGGACAGGTAAGGATGGCCAGGGGCTGTCCCTGAACACTCTCCCAATCCTTAATACAAATGCAAAACCCAACAACCTGAGAGGTCTATAACCCTCCCCTGAAGATGTATGCAACGTCTGTGTTTACGTAGGCTTTTGTGTTTTTCTGAAGAAAGAACCCAGAGCTGTCATCTGCTTCTTTCAGGGCTCATGATGGAAAAAAAAAAATGTTTTTAACTGTCTGTTCTGAGGGGGCCCATAAGCACAAGAGGGAGGAAACTGAGTTATCCCAAACTAGAGCAGGTGGAGTATTTTCAGGAGTGAGCCTCCCGACACTGGAGGGGTTCAAGCAGAAGCTGGCCGAGCATTCGCAGGGGGATGGCCGGCCTCACCCTGTAACCCTCTTTGCTGATCATGTCTCTTCGCTGTTTGGGGCCCCGTTCTCTTTACCTGAAACCAGACTTCTTGAACTGCTGCACATAGAACTGGATGTCCTCCTCGGTGACGATGTGGCTGAGGCTGGGCTCCTCTGGGGTTCTCACAAAGAGTCCTCCTGCAAAAAGCCACTTGTCTGCTCTTGGAGCTCTGGGCCAGGCACCTGAGTTCTAACTCCAGCGTGTTCCCAGCTGACGTTGGGCACCCAACTGCCTCTCATGTCACATCTGAACTCACAGGGAAGGTTCTCATGCTCCTTCATTCATTCTTTCTCTCCTCCTTCTCCACAGTGAGCCCATCTCCTCCCAAGCTCTAAATCCATGCCCTGTCATCTTGGAACCCAATGATATCACACACAGACCTCCCCTTCCAGGACAAACCATGTCCCTCTCCTTCAGAAACTCACAATAACTCCAAGATGACCCTATTTCCTGTTTACCCAGGACCTACCAGCCCTTCCAGCAACCCTCTCCCCCAGACTACACCTTTTCTAAATAGTTTAACTTTAGATACCCCACTGACTCTCAGAACTCTCGTAAATGTGTGCTGATTCTGCTCTCAGCCCAGAGGAAGATCCAGGGCAGGCAGCAGGCATTCTGTTGCCTTCTGCGTGCTCACGGTCCTTTGCACAGTGTGGAATCCTATCTTGTTTTCAGAGGTGTGCACTGTGTCCTGGCAGTCCCCAGTCCCCATGACGGTGACCTTGTGACGACCACGGGCAGCCCAGGGGCCACTGCTATTTCACAGAGGATAGTCACAAGGGCTATTAACGTTGGCATTTGAAGAGGGATGACTCACTATTTTCAGGCTCTTGAAGCCTCCAAGGGATAGGAACCGGGCGAGGCAGGCTTTTGCGAGACATATCACAGGGGTACACGATCAGAGTGCCTCCCCCGCCGGGCTGGCGCTTCTGTCTCATTCAGCATCTCTGGAAGAGCCCCTACCTGCTCCCCTCACTTTACTAGTGCTATCTGCTGCCCTAAGAGACTGTGGGCTCCCTGAGAGCAGTGACCATGCTCTGTGCGTCTGGATATCTGCCCTGCCTCACATCAAGTGTGGGCTCCCAATGCTTGGGAATGAAGGCATGAACAGGTGCATGAAAGAGGAAAGAGAGAGAGGGAGAGAGGGAGGGAGAGTGGGAGGGAGAAGGTGTTCTTGAACAGTGAGAAGACCTTGGCCTTCAGGGTAGGAGGACTTTAAGCCCAGCCTAGCCACTCTGAATGAGTTCCTTAACTCTTCTGAGCTCCATTCTCCTCATCTGTAGAACAGTGATAACAAGGGGATTTTTAAAGGATGTCCTGAGGACCATAAATATCTAAAGGGGGCTGGGCCAGTGTTGGATGCACACAGTAGGTGCTCAAACAAGTGGCAACGATCATCGTCGTTAATGAAAATACAGGTGCATACTGGCAAGGCAAGGTTCCGTGGGAGCAGGGCTGGATCTGGGAGCCGTGGGATGAGCTCCAGACGGTTCTGGGCTCTGACACTTCACTTGCATACAGCCAGGAGGGAGAACAAGGATGGTTGTCATGTGGGAGTACTGGAAATGACAGCAACACAGTACAGGGATGGAGGGAGGGCCAGTGGATTATGACAGAGGGGTTCTGGCTTGGGGATCCAGCCTGACTCCGGCTCCAGCCCTGTGTGCACCAGGTGATCTTGCAAAGGTCAGTTCCTATCTTAGGTCTTGGTCCCTTATCAGCAGAAGGTGGGATTACCCTGATGAGCTTTAAGAGTCCTCTAAGCTCTTGCTGTTTAAGACCTTGGGCCCAAAGTCCCCTGGGGGAAGGAACCAAGGCCCAAGGCCGTGTGGTCAGCCCAGGGCTAGGGTGAGCGCTAGTCACCAGTGGGGACCCATGTTAAGCAAGTCACCGTTCAGAGCTAGTGGGTGGCTGCGTCTGCTCATAGAGGTCAGATGGACACTCATGTCACGTTTAGCTGATTCCTGCCGTGATCCTCCCATCCCCCTTCCCTCCTAAGAACCTCTCTTACCCATTTCGCGGACTCTGCTCACGGAGAGAAAAGCCTGTATGGAGGAGAGTTAGAAATGTCATCGTGGGGGAAGAAAGGAAATATGCTGGAACGGGTCATCTGTAAACCCGGTCACAACCAAAGACCTACAAGTGCCATCAGGTTACACAAACATACTAAACTCCCAGGAGAGCGAGACACATTCTCAGGGGTCAAAGCAGACGTGGCTAACGGCCACGGCTCTGTGCCAAGCCTGCCCCTGGGTGCCTGCAGGTCTTGGTAGTGTAAGAACTTGGGTTGACACAACCAATGGGAACAAGAGATGAGACCTGAGATCTATGACGGGCGGGAAGTTAAAAATGAGATACTCTCTGGGGCGCCTGGGTGGCTCAGTTGGTTAAGCGTCTGACTCTTGATTTCAGCTCAGGTCATGATCTCATGGTTTGTGAGATCAGGCTCCGAGTCGGGCTCTGCACTGACAGTGTGGAGCTTGCTCGGGATTCTGTCTGTCTCTCTCTCTCTCTCTCTCTGCCCTTCCTCCTCCCCCAAATAAATACATAAACATTAAACAAAATTAAAAAGAGAGATACTCCCTGCCCCTCCACTATGAATCTAGTAAATCTGCAGTCTTCAGTTAAGGGGTGGACTAGACAAAAATCCACCCATCATGCAGAGCAAACGTGAAGGGCGTTGTTCCATTTCAGTTTGGTTCTAAGAGGAAACCATGAAAAGGTCTCCGAGGAACTCATGGCTGTAGGCCTGCCTTCAGAGGTGTCTGGATTTGAGTTTGCTCTATCTTCGTGATCTGGAACCCCCCAAGACACAAAGTAAACAACAAGAAAAGTGAGCCTAGGCTGGTAATGCCACCAGGATGCCAGGCAGAAGCAGCAAATGCGAAAGCACAGGACAGTCTTTTCTCAATCCCAGCTGAAGCAGACTGGTGCAGATTCAGTGCTGCTGAAGATAAGCTCACAAAGCAAAACGGTAAAACTCTCTCTCTCACACACCCCATTGCAAGAGACAGCAAACATAGCAAACGGTAAAATAAGAGTCTTCAAGAATATCAAATAATAGAACTTGAAGAGAGAGAGAGAATGAAAAAATGAATATACTTAATGTTAAGCACTAAAGACATAAAAGAAGGAACTAGACAAGAATAGAATAAGACTGTATCATAAGAGATCAGAACGATTTGAAAAAGAACGACATACAACTTTCATACAAAAAAAACAAAACAAAAACCCCGTTCATCGACATTAAAAAGAAAACATCAAAGATGTATTCAACTGCAGATCAGACACCACTGAATACAAGAGGGCAGACCTCAGGCTGATTTTTCATAAGCAATGACAGAAGCTTCTACCCGGTGCTGGAAGCCGGGCTATCCCAGCCTGACGGCAGGGCCCGGGCTGTGGACGGATTGGTGACTGCAAGGCAGCCCAAAGCTTCTTGTACTCCCGCTTTTAGGTAATTTGGCCTTAAAACTACCTGGGGTATTGTCTGTTGGGGAATTGCCCTCGGCAGGCCCCCTGGGAAAAGAACCATTAGGGAAGAAAATAAGGTTCCGCAAGAAATTGTGCGGCCTTACGTTTAGCCCTTGCCATCCCCTATGGAGACTCCTCTACTTACAGGAAGGATAGCCTCATACATTTGCCAGCAAAGAGGGCCTGTAAAGGAGAGACATATGGGTTTTGAAAGCCTCACTCCGGCAACTAAGGAGTGTATCTCTGGGCACAGGTGACTTCAACCCTTAGGCCCACCTGGCCCCCGGAGGCATTCCAGATGATGACTGAAGCTAGTTGGTTAAGGTACCTCATGGTTCATTAGTTCCTAGGTGCATTGTCTCTCTGAGAATGTATGAGGCATGGGTTTCTAAGGCTTTTTCAGCCCTTTTTTTGGCACCTAGGATGGAGGCAAACACATTGTTCTTCTGGCCTCATGTGGTTAGGTCATGTCCCTAACATCACCTTCGACTTGAGGTGTTGAGAAATGGAGGGCCTTTCACGAGAACAGCAAAGCAAATGCTTTGTAGATTATAGATAAATGCAGGTGCATAATGGAATAATGTAAGAAATTAACCTATAATCAAAGGGCATGTGGGAAAGTTAGGGGAAAATCACCATGTTATTTCTTAAAGGTTGTTTACACATAGGAACATTTTCAAAATTAGGTAATGTTAGAAAAACATAGAAGACGTATGCCAGAAGGAAATCACTGGCATATATAATGCCACGTTTACTACAATAAATCGGCCGGTTCAACACACTGCTGTTGTCTGTGCCCATTTTTACTTTTTGTTTTTATGTTAGTTTTTTATTTTGGTTTTAGTTTTTTACTTTAGTTTTGTTTTATTTTCACCCACGCCGTTCTTCCTGCGGGAACCCCTGGTTGCTGGAGCTGGTCTCTGGCAACCCGGAATTCTGTATTTGCATGAACTATTCTACAAGACTGAAAAGCAAAACAGAAATATTCTCAGGCCAAAAAATTGTTTACTCTCAACAGACTCCTACAGAGACAACTACCAAAGAAGGTCCTTCAGGAAGGAAGAAGTTGAACTAAATGTAAAGGGGCAAGATGCCAGCGGGAACCAGCAGAGGAGCCGGCAAACGTGGGGACGTCTCACGGCACTGACTGAACGACAGTGGAGACAGTGACAGCAGGTGGGGATTATGGAATGAAAGCATTCTGGGCCCCTTTCCAAGACAAGGGTTAGTGATGTCAAGTGATTTGGGACTTTGATAAACAGTTGTGCATGTGAAGCCGGTAGCGGCAGGTCATGGCGTAATTTCTGAACTGTTGCCATTATAGCCCTTCTTTGATCTTTAGTCTCAAAGCCCTACCTGTGTGTGACAGGGAGGACGCAACATTTCCCAGTGATGAGGGGACCGATAGAGTGAGGACCTCGGTCACCCTGACTACACCTGGTGGAAGGCTGGGGAGCCTGGGTGGCTCAGTCTGTTAGGCACCCGACTCTTGATTTCGGCTCATATCACGATCTCATAGTTCGTGAGTTCAAGACCCACGTGGGGCTTTGCACTGACAGTGGGGAGCCTGCTTGGGATTTTCTCTCTGTCCCTCCCCACTTGCACTGTCTGTGTCTCTTGCAAAATGAATAAACTTTAAAAAAAAAAAAAAAAGGAAAGAAGGCCAAGTTGCTCATTTCCAGACCCTGCCATACCCCAGAACCCCGCCCCCTCCCAGGGTTACATTCCAGAGGTCTTTGTACCTCTGCAGCTCCCAGCTCCACCCCCATCCCCACCCAACCCTCACCTCATCACTTGCTCTGAAGAAGCTTTTGAAAGTCCGGCTGAGGTTCTGTTCCAGTTCAGCCTCAGCCACTCCCTAAAACAAACAAGAAATCAAAAGGAAGGACTCTGCAGAAATCCTGAACCCGAGCCCTCCCCCATCTGATTGACAGCCAGAAGCCCCCAGCCTCTGTCCCATCCAGCCCAAGTTTCATCAGAAGTGCATTAGTTTGGGTTTCACATTGAAACACGTGTTTAAAACAAAACAAAACAAAAAAAGCAAGCTTCAAATAGAAAACAAGATGCTCACAGTGGTTTCCCTGGGAGGTGGGTTTATGGATGTTGCTTTCTTTTCTTTTTACGTTTTTCAAAATTCCTACAATGAGAACGTCTTACTTGTTACACGTCCTTTTATGGGAATGGGGGAGGGCTGGACAGGAGTAGGCTGGGAGTGAGAAGGGACCGGTTCCAAGGATTCCAAGAAGCCAAAAATTGTTCCATTCATGCATCTCATTTTGCTGTGGCAACTTCAGAACCAACTTCCTTGAGGTGGGCCTAAATTATTACAGACTGACTGTTATTCCATGCCCACGGACTGTCTCCCAAAGGACAGGACGGCAAGGTTCCCTTGTTGAGAGCCAGGACACATAGCCCTTGTGGTGACAAATTACCAGGTATCCCCCTTCATGGGAGTGTTGTCACACAGAATGCCTCACCTAACACGGTGCTCTGGTCATTTCCAGGTCTCTGGCTTGTGCACAATTGGATTAGTTCTGACTTGAACTTGCTTCAACAGTTCCACAGATATTGGGCCCCTTCCCCAGCAAACAGGGCTAAGAAGAGATGCTAATGTACAAAATAGAGGTCCCAAGGGCAGAGGCGAGGGTGGGGTGTAGACTGAGGTAGATGCTGGAGGCGCCAATACATGCTGGGGTCGGGGGAAGACATTCTTGCTGGAAACTCTGGGCCTGCATCCCTGTCTCCCCACCTCCCCTTCCTTCTGACCCAAATCCCCCACTCGGGGGCATGTCCAGACACTAAGACGGCGTGGCAAGGGGCTTTGAGATCCATCAGTAGATGCTGATCCGCTGGCTAGTCTCTCAGGACATGATTTTCTTAGGGCATAAAAGGAAAATTTTCATCCAGTCTTTCTTTTCCAGAAATTGAAAGCCCTTGGACCTGAAAGCTCTTATAAAGCCTGTGTCAAGAAAGATAGCTGTCCCCGAGGCAGGGATCCACCGGGGGCAACTACTCCGAAGGAACAAAGATCCTTCCCCAACACGGTTCTGAGGAGACCATGTGGCAGGACACGGAGAAAGAGTGTGGTGGGGTGTCTCCGTCCGTTCAGGCTGCCCTAACAGAACACCATAAATCAGGGAGCTTATAAACACAGACATTTATTTCTCGATGTGGAGGCTGGGAAGTCTGGGATCAAGGTGCCTGCAGATTCAGTCTTTCTGGCTCATACCCGGCCATCTTCTGGCTGTGCCCTCACATGGCGGAAAGGGCGAGGGTACTCTCTCTGGAGAGGGGGCTCATCCCATTCATGAGGGTGCCATCCTCCTGACCCAATCACCTCCCAAAGGCCCCACCTCCTAATTCCCTCCCACTGAAGATCAGGATTTCAATCTGAGAATTCGGGGGGAACACATTCCGTCTACAGCACAGTGCCAACCTACTTTTTCCTCTTCCTTCCCAACTGCTCACCTGAATGTACCCAGACACCATCTGAAATGGACTACAGAGTGTTTCTGAATGGGTGCCCTTACCCTCTCACCTCCCTGGTTTAACACACTGAAAAGTCCACCAAGAACACCTCATTCTCTCAGTGTGGCCTTCAAAGAGCCTTCAACACCTGTACCCAAAACTGCCTCTTCCAGGAAGTCCCACCTCCTGCCATCCCAATAAAAGAACTCTATTCTTGTTGGATCCCGCAGAGCTTTAACATGCCCCCCTTGGGCCACTTTGAGGCAGGGAAGCATCCACTTGAGAGCATCCGTGACTGTTCCCAGAAAGGAGGGTGCCGTAAGCCGGGTCTCTAAAGCCTTCCAGTGACCAGCAGCCCTCTGTCCTGCACACTGTAGAGGCCCCGCTACAGAGCGCTTCATTTCTTCTGCATGGCAACCTCGCGAGAGCTCCCAATTTGTGAGAAGGCAGCACACACGGAAGGAAACATTTATCATCTGCAGCACTAGGTCTGCGGTTTGAGATTTTCTGATGCCAGCAATGCCGACGTGTTCATTACAATCCCCTCACATTTGTAAGATTCGATCACGACGACGAGTCATTTGTGACCTTCTGCTCCGCTGATGAAGGCCAAGGCCAAGAATCAGCCGTGGAAGGAAGTGCATTTTAAGGGTGGCTAAAAGCCCTGCTCAGCCCCGCATGTCACACGGATCATTTTTATTTACTGGGAGCCGTCCTCATCCCAGAAAGAGCTGCCGTTCAGGAGCCCATGGTTGGGGCGGAGTCGCCACAGGCGCAGAGCTCTGGACAAGGCTCTGGCCCGCAAATGGCCCTTAAAAGAGCAAATGGATGCCAAATGGGTCAATAAAAAATCAAAGGGATGATCAAAAAGGTAAATAAGTCTGTCAACCCACATGAAAGTAAATCAGATCAACAGAGAGTGAGGACAAAGGTGAGGGCCAGAAAAGGGGAGAGGACAGTAACATTTGTACTCGGGTTATGTGCCCTGCTGATACCACCTGACTCTGTGATTTATGAAAGGTGACACCGTATTTTTAAGTCCCACGGACCAATGACAAGATTCCCGCCTGCCCGCTGGATGGGGCTCCTCCCTCTGTGCTCCTGAGCAGAGGTTAAAGGATGGACTCTGGAACCCAGCAAACAAGGCTTCACGCGCCAGTCCTGATACTTAACTAACTGGGCAACTTAATCTTCCAGAGCCTCAATTTCCTTATCTACAGATTGGGAGTTTTGTAAGGATTATACGAGATCATAATGCCTGTTTTTTACAAAGTCTGACACACAGGAGAAATGCCAGTGAATGGTAATTTTCATTATTATTAGTATCTCCATCAAAAAAATGATTGGATTGCATCAGCAATGTCTGTTTTTGAGTGCCTGGGTGGCTCAGTCAGTTGAGCAACTGATTCTTGATTTCAGCTAAGGTCATGACAGCGTGGAGCCTGCTTGGAATTCTCTCTGTCTGCCCCTTCCCGGCTCCTACTCTCTTGTCTCTCAAAATAAAACATTAAAAAAAAAAAAAAAAGAAAGAAAGAAATGTCTAGTTTTGGATCTGGTCCGCTCATGAGCCTGTGAGTTTCTTCTAGACACACAATGTATCGTCTTCATGTTTTTGGTCCCATGGCCACAACATGGTAACAGTAGGTACCCAGCAAAGGCTGGGTTGGGTGGGAAGGAGAAAAAGAAGAGCAGAGAAAGAAGAGGGGCAGGAATAGGAGAGAAAGACTTTGGTGGGAGTGTCTTCTAAATGATCGTGGCTTTTATTTTTCTGGCCTGCACTGGGAGCTCACACTCACCTAACAAGGTAAGTCAGCCCCAGCTGGAGGGAGAGCTGAACTGTAAGCTACTGAACGAAGTCAAACGACAGAATCAGATCTCTTGTGACCCAAAGCTACCTCGGGGGCAGGAGAACTGACGACCACTCAGGGTTCTAAAAGAAGCTCCTAGAACAAAGCCTTTGGAACTCCGTGAAGCCTGGAGCTCTGGCTCAGAGAACTCTGAGGCTGTTCAAGGCCGACCTCTTATGGTGTGGGTGGTGAAACCCACCTTGGAGAATGCATCAGAATTTCTTGGCCTTTCTTACTAACCACCTCCCCCTCCTCCCCTCTCTTTATTTTAAAGAAATCACAGAAAGTCACAATTATGAGGAAACTTCTAATTCTCTTCTCCCTGCTTTCTGTGCCTTCATATCAGTATCCTTGGCTTTGCCCTTTCTCCTGAGATGTATTTCCAACTGTCAGATAAACACATCTGTGAGGCTATATCTTGTCATACTCTTCAATGTGATCATTAAAATTAATCTGAAGAACCAATGAAGGAAATGTAATCTCTGGTGAAATATATTTTTTATTCATACCCCAGTGTTATCGACCCCGTCCCCCCCCCAGCCCCCCATAGTGGGTTGAAGAGTGGCCCCTAAGAAGGTTATGCCCAAAGATCTAATGCCTTGTACCTGCGAATGTGACCTTGTTTGGCAATGGAGTCTCTGTGGATGAAACCATCAGGATCTCAGATGAGTGACAGTTACAAGTCAGGGGCGCCAAGGGTTCCTGGCACCACCAGAAGTAAGGAGAGAGGCACGGAACAGATTCCCCCTCACAGCCTTCAGAAGAAACCAAGCCCAGTAGCACCTTGATTTCGCACTTTAGCCTCCAAAACCATAAGAGCATAAATTTCTGTCATTTCAAGCCACCAAGTTGTGGTAATTTGTAATAGTTAGCCCTGGAAAAATAATACACCACTTCAGGAAGTCTCTTGATTTGGGGGGTGGGTGAGGAGGGAAAGGGACTAGGGCCTACGTAACCTCTGGCTTCATGGGGGCGGACGCCCCGCTCCCCGCCCCCACCCAGTGGCAGGATGACAGGTGTGCGTTGGGATCTGGCTCCTGAGATCTCTTCACCTGCCTCCACCCCCAGTTTCCTCTCCGTGCACGTGTTTCACTTGCTGTGAGAGGAACCCCAGAAATGGAGGTTACAATGAAGAAGACCCAAGTTTAGTCTAGACTTTTCTCCCGAGTGTTGGCAGGGGAGCAATTCTCAACCACCTCGTGGGCCAGGGAGGTTCCTACAGCTGGCCACGGCAGCCGTTGTCTTGAACTCAGATGTCCTCACAGAGACATCCTCCCCCTGCTTCACGACCCAGTGGGATTCCTCCTCTCTAATCTCCCCGTTTGTTCCTTCCAAGGGGTCCAACAGGTCTTCCTCGGAAGATGCACTTAATTGGGTCTATTGTTTCATTGCTGAGACAGTGGAGACAGCCACTTAAATCAAATGGCAGGCCCTCAAAGCCTGAGCTCAGGCAGCCTCTGTCCCCCCTCCAGTCAACACTAGAAGCTGCATGTTGTCGTGCCTCTGGCCTTTTGATTTCTTTTTTAATGTTTATCTACTTTTG